ACAAGACTAGCAGCGTAGTCTAGACGAGAGCGAGCAGCAAAGTCGACGAGCTCAGCAACTAGGGCAGACACAGCAGTGGACTCAAAGGAAGGGTCAGTGACAACAGTAGCAAGGAGACGCGTGACAGTCGGACTGGCAGCACGAAGAGAGTCCGACTCCGGGTCGGCAAGATCAGGAAGAGAGGACTAAGGAGGAGAAGGCAAAGGGGCACGCAGAGGAGCAGTGGACGGACGCAGAGACATCCGGTGCGTGCCAGGGACAGGAGGAGGACGCTGACGTGAACCACGACCACTAGCGCGAGCAGCACGGACAGGCGACGCAGGGTAAGACGCAGGCTCACGACGCTCAGCAAGACCTCCAGTAGGACCAGTGTAGGGGGAAGGAGCAGGCAGTGGGGAGGCCGGCTGTAACTGTAACTGCGACGGGACAGGTTGTGGACACTCTTAGGGAGGAGGAGGACCAGTAGAAGGCGGGAGACCAAGAACCTGCTCAAGGAGCGGAACAAAGTACGGCCGAGGCCGCGCAGCGACTCCAGACACAGCAGGGACAGCACCAGTACCCCCAGTGGCAGCACCAGCATCAACAGCACCGCCAGCTCCAGCACCCCCAGCAGCTCCATTAGCTCTAGGACCTCCAACAGCACTGGTAGCACCCCGTGCAGGACTGCCTCCAGTACCGCCAGCAGTACCCTCAGCCCCAACACCCTCAGCAGCTCCAGCTCCAGTCGGACCACAAGAAGACGCTGTGGCCCCAGCTCCAGTAGTACCCCCAGGCCTAGCAGCTCCAGTACTCCCAGTACGAGCACCTGCGGGACCCGTGGTACCATCACTCTCAGCAGCCGAAGAACCTCCAGCTCCAGCAGCACGCCTCCTGCGCCGGGCAAACCACTCACGCACCTCCTGTGGAGAGAGTGGCTCCCGTCGAGACGGAGCACCCGGAGAACCTCTAGTCCCAGCGCCGCCAGACGCCACACGAGTAGGCCCAGCTCCCGCAGGCTCCGCACCTCCAAGCTCAGCACCTCCACGCGGAGCACCCCCAGGCTCAGCACCCCCAGTCGTAGCACCCCCAGGCTCAGCACCCCCAGACTCAGCACCCCCAGGCTCAGCACCCCCAGGCGTAGTACCCCTAGGCTCAGCACCCCCAGGCTGAGCACCCCCACGCTCAGCACCCCCAGAGTGAGCACCCCTAGGCTCAGCACCCCCAGCAGCACCAGAGTCACCAGCTACCTCAGCAGGCTTGATTGCGTCTACCTGGGACACACCTGAAGGGGCAGGACCCTGAGGGGGAAGGGGGTCTACCGGGGGGGTACCTGGCACAAGGAAGAGCGGTGGCGGGGGGAGGGACGGAGTGCGGTAGGGGAAGAGGCGGTAGTAGGGCACCGACTCGTCAAACGTGACGTCCTGGGAGGACAGAACACGGCGAGAGGTGGGGTGGTAGAACTGCCACCCTGGCGCGTCAGGGGGGAAGCCAAGGAAGAAGCAGGGAGCAGCACGAGGGGACAGCTTGTCCGCAGACAAGTCGCGGACAAACGCCCGAGATCCCCAGACACGGAACGCAGACGCATCGCCAACCTTCCCCGTCGACAGCAAAGCTGGGGAGGCCTTCGGCATGGAGACCCTGGGCTGAAGGTTGATCTGATGCGCCGCGTACCGAACCGCAAACGGCCACAGAAAATAGGGGGCAGCCGCATGCATCATGGACGTACGGGCGACGTCCATGACCATGCCAATGCGGCGCTCAGCAATCCCATTTTGCTGTGGAGAGTCCGGAAGCGTGAAGGTCTGGCGGATGCCTCGTGCAGGACAGTAGGCTCGCAGAAGGCCAGAGGAGAACTCCCCGCCTCTGTCAGAGTGCAGACGCAGAACAGGAAAGTCCGGGCTGAAGCTCTTCCTGAGCTGGAGACGAGCTGCGCGGATCCAGTCGATCAACACCTCAGTGACATCATCCTTGTTGTGCAAGGGGAAGACTGTGGTGTAACGCAAGTAGTCGTCAACCAGCTGCAGGAAGTAGCGCTCGTGACCCTGTCCACGGACGCGGGCTGGGCCCCACACGTCCATGTGAAGCGTCTGCAGCGGGGCCTCTGTCGGAGGAAACTGGGAGGAGTGAGGGGCAGCACGCTGCCGCCCCTCGACACAGGGGACGCAGGTAGGGGCAGGCCTCGGAGGAAGGGGAGGGAGGGACCGGGGAAGACCAGAGACAAGGACACGAGAGGCCATGCCTCGGAGACGAGGCAGGGAGGGGTGACCAAGGCGGTGGTGCCAGAGGAGAGTCTCGTGAGACAGGAGGCGACACGAGCAGGGGGCAGACTCAGGACCAGACCTGGACGCTGCAGCTAACACCTGACCCGACGCAGCTGCCTGATAAGACGCAGTGACTGGAGGAGACTCAATGGTCAGTGTGTACAGGCTCGTCCCCGGCCGACGTGTAAACGTGGCCAAGTGTCGGCCCGTCCGAGCGTCCGTGCAGTGGGTCACTCGCTGGCTCGCAGGAGTGAACTGGTGAACCCCCGCATCCTGTAGGTCAGCACCACTCACCAAGTGTCAGAACATTATAGCTTATGCTTTTGTGTAGGCTGTAGTGGGGTAGCCCATATTGGGTACAACCCAATTAGGGTTTGTACTTGTACCCAACTCTTTCATAGTGCATTCATTCTCGTTTCAGTTTTCTCATGGTATCGAGCAGGTTCCCTCGTGGGAACTGTTCCTAGGGCCCACCGATTCGATTTTTTTTTTCCTGCCCGGAGCGCGCTCAGCCCTTGCCCGAGTCGCGCTCCCCCCTTTTTCACTGTGTCGCGCCGCCCTAGCGGCTGTGCCGCGCCGCCCTTGACAGCCCCGATCCGCCGCCCTAGCGGCCCCGTCACTTACCCCGCGGCCCTCGAGCCGCCCTTCCCGGCCCCGATTCGCCGCCCTTTCGGCCCCGTCGCCTACCCCGCGGACCTCGCGCCGCCCTTCCCGAGCCGGCCCCGCCCTTGCTGGCCCCGTCGCCTACCTACGGCCCCGACGCCTACCTGCGGCCCCGTCGCCTACCTGCGGCCCCGTCGCCTACCTGCGGCCCCGACGCCTACCTGCGGCCTCGTCGCCTACCTGCGGCCCCGTCGCCTCCTTGCGGCCCCGGCGCTGCCCTTCCCGGCTCAGGCGCCGCCCTTTCTCGGCCCCGACGCCGCCCTTCCCGACCCGGCCCAGTCTCTGCTGGCCCTGTCGCCTACCTTACGGCCCTGGCGCCGCCCCTTCCCGGCCCCGGCCCAGCCCCTGCTGGCCTCGTCGCACGCCCTTCCCGGCCCCGACCGCGCCTTCAGACGGCCCCGCCGAGCTACTGCCGAGCCGCCAGCGCCACCCGAGCCGCCCGAGCCGCCGTCCTGCAGAGCCGCCTGAGCCGCCTGAGCCGCCCATGCCGCCCGAGCCGCCCGAGCCGCCGACCCGCGGAGCCGCCCGAGCCGCCCGAGTCGCCTGAGCCGCCTGAGCCGCCCGAGCCGCCCGAGCCGCCCGAGCTGCAGAGTAGCCGAGCCGCCGAGCTGCAGTTCCTGCCGAGCCGCCGAGCTGCAGTTCCTGCCGAGCTGCCGAGCCGCCGAGCCGCCCGAGCCGCCCTGTCCGGTAAGAGCAGCGCCTCTGTCACTGCACTGCCCTTACCCCACTGTTCGCGCTACTAGTCTACTGCTGTCATGGCTACCCCTAGTGTCCTCGCTTTTGACGCTGAGGGTCGGGCCATTGACTTTGATGTCTGGGTAGATGACCTGCAGCTTTTCCTACAGTGCGATAGGGCAGACGGTCTCTCCCTCTTTGACCTCACCTCTAGTGCTTCTCCTGCCCCTGCTGCTGATGCTGACGCCACTGTTCGCTCATAGTGGGCCGCACGCGATGCTGCTGCACGTCTTGCTGTGCTTCGCCACCTGCCTACCTCTGAGCGTGCGCACTTTAGCCAGTACAAGAGTGCTTAGACCTTGTACGACGCTGTAGTTGCACGCTACTCCTCCCCTGCCACTGCTGCACTGAGCCGACTCATGCTACCGTACCTCTTCCCTGACCTTGCTGCCTTTCCCACAGTCGCTGACCTCATTACGCACCTCCGCACTAGTGACACTCGCTACCGCGCTGCGCTTCCTGCTGAGTTCTGCGCCAAGAACCCCCCCCCCCCCCATGTACATCACCCTCTACTACATAGTCACCCGGCTCCCTGACTCCCTTCGCGTAGTCAGGGACCACTTCCTCTCAGTTTGCCCCACCACTCTCACCGTTGATCTCCTCGAGAAGGCCCTCCTAGCAGCGGAGAAGAGCATAGTCGCTGTAGGAGCCTCTCGTGGTGACCCTCGCACCCCCATCTTTGAGGGGTGTTCCCCCTCCCCCCTTTTGCCCTCTGTTGCCTCTGCTGCTGCGGCCGACCTCGTTGGGCTGGATTCGGTCGGTGCGGCGTCTACCCCTAGCGGGAGACGCCGCCCTGGCAAGGGCAAAGGAGGCAGGGGCGCTGGAGGAGCTAGCGAGGGCGGTGGAGGCGGCGGTGGAGGCGGCGGAGGGAGTGGGGGTGGCGGTGGGGGTGGTGGAGGGGGTGGAGGTGTCGGTGGCGGCAGTGGAGGCGGAGGCGGCGGCGGCGGTGGCGGTGGGAGCGGAGGTGGTGGCGGAGGTGGCGGCGGAGGAGGAGGCGGTGGCGGAGGAGGTGGAGCTGGTCGGGGTGGCGCTGCGCAGAGGGTCGGCTCTAGTGGAGGTCAGCGCCAGCAGCAGCAGCAGCAGCAGCGCACTCGTGACATCCCCTCCCCTCAGTAGCTCCGTGAGTGGTACACTGCACGCCAGCGGGGTGGGGGTACTGGTCCGTGCACCTATGTCCTACGCACCGGCGACAGCGCGGGTGAGCAGAGCGCGGGTGCGCACTCCACCCAGCGCTGCTTTGGCCGCCTGACGGACGCATGGGGTCACCAGTTCCCGGAGGCCACGGAGATCCCCCGCTGGGGTGAGCTTTCTAGGGCGGGAGTAGCTGTCTTTGACCTTGACTTTGATGCTATTCTTGCTGCCATGTATGCTGTGACTATTAGTGATGAGGGTGACTGTTTCCGGTGTTTTCCGCCCGACCCGGGCATTGAGACTGCCGCTCTAGGTACTAGTGAGGCTGCTGCTCTAGGTGCTAGCGAGGCTGCTGCTCTAGGTGCTCGTGCGTGTGCTCCCTCAGGTGCTGATGAGTCTGCTCTCTCAGGTACTGCGTTGGCTTTGGCCTCCCACACCTTCACCCTTGACTCAGGGGCTTCTCGCTCCTTCTTTCGAGACCGCACCACACTCACGCCGCTTGGCTGGCCAGTTGCAGTTTCTCTGGCAGACCCCTCTGGGGGTCCTGTCCTTGCTCACTACTCCACTGTCCTCCCGTGTCCGTCGGCCCCCTCTGGCACCCTGTCTGGTCTTTACCTCCTCTCGTTCTCTACGAACTTGGTGAGTGGTGCTGACCTACAGGATGCGGGGGTTCACCAGTTCACTCCTGCACGTCAGCGGGTGACCCACTGCACGGACGCTCGGACAGGCCGACACCTCGCCACGTTTACACGTCGGCCGGGGTCGAGCCTGTACTCACTGACCACTGCGTCTCCTCCAGTCACTGCGTCTGGTCAGGTAGCTGCGTCGGGTCAGGTGTTTGCTGCAGCGTCCAGGTCTGGTCCTGAGTCTGCCCCCTGCTCGTGTCGCCTCCTGTCTCACGAGACTCTCCTCTGGCACCACCGCCTTAGTCACCCCTCCCTGCTTTGTCTCCGAGGCATGGCCTCCCGTGTCATTGTCTCTGGTCTTCCTCGATCCCTCCCTCTCCTTCCTCCTGGGCCTGGCCCTACCTGCGTCCCCTGTGTCGAGGGGCGGCAGCGGGCTGCCCCTCACTCCTCCCAGTTTCCTCCAACAGAGGCCCCGCTGCAGACACTTCACATGGACGTGTGGGGCCCGGCCCGCGTCCGGGGACAGGGTCACGAGCGCTACTTCCTGCTGGTGGTTGACGACTACTCGCGTTACACCACAGTCTTCCCCTTGCACAGCAAGGGTGATGTCACTGAGGTGTTGATCGACTGGATCCGCGCAGCTCGTCTCCAGATCAGGCAGAGCTTCGGCTCGGACTTTCCTGTTCTGCGTCTGCACTCTGACAGAGGCGGAGAGTTCTCCTCTGGCCTTCTGCGAGCCTAATGTCGTGCACGAGGCATCCGCCAGACCTTCATGCTTCCGGACTCTCCACAGTGAAATGGGATTGCTGAGCGCCGCATTGGCATGGTAATGGATGTCGCTCGTACGTCCATGATGCATGCGGCTGCCCCCCATTTTCTGTGGCTGTTTGCGGTTCGGTACGTGGCGCATCAGATCAACCTTCACCCTAGGGTCTCCATGCCGGAGACCTCCCCAGCTTTGTTGTGGACGGGGAAGGTTGGCGATGCGTCTGCGTTCCGTGTCTGGGGATCTCGGGCGTTTGTTCGCGACTTGTCTGCGGACAAGCTGTCCCCTCGTGCTGCTCCTTGCGTCTTCCTTGGCTTCCCCCCTGACGCGCCAGGGTGGCAGTTCTACCACCCCACCTCTCGCCGTGTTCTGTCCTCCCAGGACGTCACGTTTGACGAGTCGGTCCCCTACTACCGCCTCTTCCCCTACCGCACTCCGTCCCTCCCCCCGCCACCGCTCTTCCTTGTACCAGGTCCCCCCCCGGTAGACCCCCTCCCCCCTCAGGGTCCTGCCCCTTCAGGTGTGTCCCAGGTAGACGCAGTCAAGCCTGTCGAGTTTACTGGTGACTCTGGTGCTGCTGAGGGTGCTGAGCCTTGGGGTTGTTGACTCTTGGGGTGCTGAGCGTGTGGGTGTTGCGCCTGGGGGTGCTGAGCCTGCGGGTGCTACTACTGGGGGTGATGAGCCTGGGGGTGCTGCGACTGGGGGTGCTGAGCCTGGGTGTGCTGAGCCTGGGGGTGCTACGCCTGGAGGTGGTGAGCCTGGAGGTGCGAAGCCTGAGGGAGTTGGGCCTACTCGTGTGGCGTCTGGCGGTGCTGGGCCTGAAGGTTCTCCGGGTGCTTCGTCTCGACGGGAGCCCCTCTCTCCACAGGAGCTGCGTGAGTGGTTTGCCCGGCGCTAGAGGCGTGCTGCTGGAGCTGGAGGTTCTACGGCTGCTGAGGGTGCTGGTGCCGCGGGTCCCGGAGGTGCTCGTGCTGGGAGTACTGGAGCTGCTGGGCCTGCGGGTGCGTCTGGAGCTGGAGCTGCTGAGGGTGTTGGCGCTGAGGCTACTGCTGTCGGTCCTGGAGGCGGTCCTGCTGGGGGTACTACTGGTGCTGCTGGAGGTACTGGAGCTGGAGGTGCTGCTGGCGCTGGTGCTGCCGCTGGGGGTGCTGGTGTTGTCCCTTCTGTGTCTGGAGTCGCCGCGCGGCCTCAGCCGTACTTCGTTCCACTCCTTCAGCAGGTTCTTGGTCTCCCGCCTTCTACTGGTCCTCCTCCTCCCTTAGATTGTCCACAGCCTGTCCTGTCACAGTTAGGAGAGCAGGAAGTCGTTGACGTGGGACACAACGACCAGTGCGAGCAGTACGAACAGGTGACGCAGAACGAGACTCGGGCGACAGAGGACGAGACGCAGGCTCAGGACGCTCCGTATGACCTCCTGTCGGACCAGTATAGGGAGAAGGACCAGGGAGGGGCGAGGCAGGCTGTAACTATAACTGTGACTGGACAGGCTGAGGACACTCTAAGGAGGGAGCAGGACAAGGAGGAGGCAGCTGACCAAGAACCTGCTGAAGGAGAGGAACGAAGTACGGCCGCGGCCGTGAAGCGCCCCCAGAACCAGCAGAGACAGCACTAGAACCCCCACCAGCAGCTCCAACTCCTGCAGCACCACCAGCAGCTCCAGTAGTGCCAACTCCAGCACCTGCAGGAGGACGAGCGTCAGCACCCCCAGCGCCAGCCCCTGCAACACCAACGCCAGGGTCAGCAGCTACACGAACTCCAGTAGGCCCAGCGGCCTCAGCTCCACCGGCAGCTCCAGCACCTCCAGCTCCAACTCCAGCACCAGCAGCACCTCTAGCAGCTCCAGCACCAGCAGCACCTCCAGTAGCCCCAGCTCCAGTAGCTCCAGCTCCAGTTCTAGTAGAACCCTCAGTCCCAGCAGCTCCAGGATCGCCTGTATGAGCACCTCCAGGACAAGAGGCTCCAGTACCTCCAGCAGCACCAGGGCCTTCAGCGGGCGGCACCCCAGGTGCTAGGAGCGCCGCTCCGGAGACTGTAGCATCGAGCGTACCACTCACGCGGCCGTTGTGGGGAGGGAGGCTCCGGCCGCGACACAGCACCCGCAGCACCACCAACTCCAACTCCGGCAGAACCCCCAGCTCCAGCAGCCCCACGCTGGAGGCTGCAACGCTGAGAGTACCAATCACGCAGCTGCTGTGAAGAGGGAGCGCCACCAGGCGCAGCACGGTCTGTCTCAGCTCCCCCAGGCTCAGTACCGCCAGTCTCAGCACCCCCAAGCTTAGCACCCCCAGTCTCAGCACCCCCAGGCTCATCACCCCCAGTCTCAGCACCCCCAAACTCAACACCCCCAGACGCAGTACCTCGCGCAGGACCAGAGTCGACAGCTACCTCGACAGGCTCGACCGGGTCTGCCTGGGAAACACCTGAAGGAGCAGGACCCTGGGGAGGGAGGGGGTCTACCGAAGCAGCACCTGGCGTGAGGAAGAGCGGCGGAGGGGGGAACGGGGCAGTGCGGTAGGGGAAAAGACGGTAAAAGGGGACCGACTCGTCAAACGTGGCGTCCTGAGAGGGCAGGTCACGGCGCGAGGTGGGGTGGTAAAACTGCCAGCCAGGCGCGTCAGGGACGAAGCCAAGGAAGACACAGGGAACGGCACGGGAGGAGAGCTTGTCTGCGGACGTATCGCCGACAAAGGCTCAACATCCCCAGACCCAGAAGACCGACGCATCGCCAACCTTCCCCGTCCAACGCAGTGTGGGGGAGGTCTCCGGAGCAGAGACACGGGGCCAGAGGTTGAGCTGATGCGCAGCGTACTGCACTGCAAACGGCCACTGGAAATGGGGGGCAGCTGCATGGATCATGGAGGTACGAGCGACCTCCATGACTAAGCCAATGCAGCGCTCAGCAACCCCATTCTGTTGTGGAGAGGCCGGAAGTGTGAACGTCTGGCAGATGCCGTGCTCCGCACAGTAGGCTGCCAAGAGGTTGGAGGAAAACTCACCACCTTTGTCCGAGTGCAGACGCAGGACGGGAAAGTCCGAGTGGAACCGCTCGCGGAGCTGGAGACGAGCAGCGTGGATCCAAGGGATTAAAACATCAGGGACCTCACCCTTGGTGCGCAAGGGGAAGACCATGGTGTAGCGCGTGTAGTCATCGACGACCAGCAGGAAGTACCGCTCGTGGCCCTGTCCACGGACGCAGGCTAGGCCCCACACGTCTAGATGGAGAGTCTGCAGGGGAGCCTATGTGAGAGGGAACGAGGAGGAGTGAGAAGTGGCGCACTGCCGCCCCTCGACACAGGGAAGAGAGGGAGGAGCAGGCGAGGGTGGGAGGGGAGGGAGAACCCTGGGAAGACCAGAGACAAGGTACCGGGAGTGCATGCCACAAAGGCGCTGCACTGAGGGGTGACCAAGGCGGTGGTGCCAGAGGACGGTCTGGTGCGACAGGGTGCGACACGAGCAGGGGACGGACAACTGACCTGACGCAGATGCAGACGCCGCTACCTAAGGGGACTCATTGGTCAGTGTGTACAAGTCCGACCCCGGCTGCCGAGTGAAGGTAGCCAGGTGACGACCCGTCTGGGCATACGTGCAATGTGTCACACGCTTGTAGGCAGGGGTGAACTAGTGAACTCCCGCGTCCTGGAGCACAGAACCCGCCACCAAGTTCGTAGAGAACGAGGGGAGGTAAAGGCCTGACAGTATGCCGGATGGGACAGCAGTACAAGGGAGGGCAGTGGTGGAGGTCGCAAGGACCAGACCCCCGGAGGGGTCAGCCAGGGAGACAGCAACCGGTCTAGGGAGCTGCTCTAGGGCAGTGCGGTCGCGAAAGAAACAGCGAGAAGCACCTGAGTCCAGTGTGAAGGAGTGCAGCGCCTCAGTAGACGTAGTACCTGAAGGCGCAGACTGACAAGCACCTGAAGCAGCAGACTCACGAGCGCCTAGAGCAGCAGCCTCACCAGCACCTGGAGGAGGAGACGCACGAGCACCTAGAGCAGCAGTCTCACCGGCACCTGGAGCAGCAGACTGGATACCTCCGTCCTCTCTTGGGCGGAGCCGACATCGTGGTCGGGTGTTAGGGGAGCAGCCGACCTGCAGCAGTGGGCGAGCTGGTTGACGAGGAGGTCGACCTGCACGGGGACCACTGCACGGGCACCGACTTCAGGGTGGCGCCAACTTCGGGGAGGTCGACTTAGGAGTCGACCTACGGAGGACGTCAACTTGGTGACGTCAACTTGGGGAAGCCGACTTCGGTGGTCGGCTGATGGACTGCTGGTCGACCTGCGGGTGGTCGACTGGACCTGGTGGTCGACGAAGGAGGGGCCGACGTCGACCTCGACTCAGGACGACGAGCAGTTGGGCGTCGAGTAGCGGGGCGTCAACTTCGTGACGCCGACTTCGGGTGGCCGACGTGGGTGGTCGGCCGACAACTGCGCTGGCCGACTTAGTGCTGGTCAACGTGGAGCTGGTCGACCAGAAGGGACGTCGACCTGGAGGAGGTCGACCGAGGGGCGTGGTCGTCCTGGTGAGGTCGACATGGAGGTGGTCGTTGACTTGGGAGGTCGACGGGCACGTACGGGAGCTGCTGGTCGATGTGGTTGCCCGGTCGACCAGGTTACCTGGGTGACGAAGTGCTGCGGAGGAGTGCGACGGTCGCCCAGGCGAAGTTGGCGAGACCGAAATCGGTGGTGGTATCCCGAGGTCGTCGTGGCGGATCAGAGGCAGTCGTCAGCTCGAGGTTGACGTGGTGTGTGCGCTGTGCAGGTGACGAGACTCTGCACGCAAATCATCTGCGCGCACCTGCGAAGCGGGTGCACTGCTGTCCTGCGTGAGCAATACTGGTACGCCATCAACCTGCGACGTTGGCACGCCGTCGACCTTGCCTTGCTGGAGTGCGGTCGACCAAGTCGTGCTGGAACGCGGTCGACCAAGCTGCGCTGGCAGTTGGCCGACCTGAATGCTAGCTCTGATGTAGTCTTGCATTGCCAACTTCATTGGATCAATTGATGTCATATTTTCCTAGTGAAACTCTTGCCAATTCTCCCCGTGAACTAGCAAGAAGCGTAAACACAAGGAAATGACTAAGTGAACGAACGCAGAGATCACACGAGCACACGTGCCTAGCCCGTAGTCTAGCTCCCGTTGCAGCAGTTATCTCCGCAATACCGGGGTCAGGCGGCACACACAGGTGACAGGCTCCCTCGGCACTAGTAGACAATGCATACATTGTAGTGAGAATAACATCATAGTCAAGAGCAAAGATATCTACCCTCTGCCTAAGCAACTCCACCCGGTCGGGGAGCTCAGCGTCGTCGCCGAACTCTGTACGCCAAGCGTCGCTCAGACTGGCAAAGCAGCGAGACTCTGTGTGACCAAGCGTCCTGCAAGCCTGACCAATCCGGACACCCGTGCTAGCAGTACTCAGCGACCCTCTACTCTGAGCGTACCACTCACAAAGCTGCTGGGGCGAAGGAGTCTCGCGGAGACGACGCTGCTTCTGCACCGGTCTACTACAAGAAACTCCCAAACTACCCACTCCAGGAGGACTCCCACTACTGCCACCTCGACAACCCCAACTGACGTACCACTCACGAAGCTACTAGGGCGTGAGG